TCGACATAATCGTGACTAGTCGACTAATCGTGGCAGCCCTAATGAGCTAATGATATACACTGGCAGAATTGCTTAAGTAAAGCCTTTAGTGCATCTCAAGTTATTAACACTAGACAAAGCTATATAGTTGAATCCATCCTGCAATGTATATCTACCTGTGTGTATCTCTCCCGCCACCCTCTTAGTACAACTATTAATATCTTTTATTTCTGAGGGCCTGTTGTGCTTTACTGGGATACAGATGATGTTTAAAAAATGTGTCCGCTTTTGGCAGCAAAGCACCATGCTTCAAATAGATTTGCAGTTGCATAGCAACAGCAGGACACATGAAGAGGGCCTTTAGTTAAAAGAAATGTTGAGCTGACAGTCGCTCAAGAGTCAAATTAAACGCAGAGCAGTCATCTAAAAAAACTATGCGTTCAGGCTAATAAACGTCTCTAACATGTCAGAAAATGCAGAACTTTGGCGGTGACTTAACGTTTAGGTCTTCCAGAATTTCACAACCAGTTAAACGTTTTACATGTTACAGGAAAACTTTTTTTATTAGTTTTAGATTTATACTATCCCATCTGCAGTTTAACAATTTGGGATTAAACAGAAGACTTTCGAATAGCATCAGATTCATTACCATGTGTTGCTTTTTTTTTTTTTTTTTTTTTTTTTTTTTTAAAAGGAAAAAAAAAAGAACAAAAGCAGGCTTTTAAATATTCAGATGTCCCTTGGCTTTAATCCCCTTCTCCTTCACGTTTTAAATGTATTTGCATTAATTGGTAAATTTTGCTGATCTTCTCCATTCAAGGCCTCATTGTCTCTTTCACATTGTTTAATTTTACTCTGTCTGTGAAGCAGCAAATGTGTTCACTGTGCTCGATTCATGTGCTGCTGAATTGAGGAAGTTACTTATACATGTTAGAAGCTGCAGCTGCATTCCTGGCCCATCAGCCTCAGTGACAGGTCTCTGCCTCTCAAATTTCACTTCTCTTGTCTTTTGTTTTCTCCTCCTTACCGTTGAGGGAAAAAAAAGGTTTTCATTGTATTATTCAGTTCCTTCTAATCCTGTATCTTGTCCCTAAACTCTCCTCCCCTCTTAACTTTCTGTCTGTAAGGTGATAGCAGCACTTAAGTTGATGCCAACTCCAGGGGCCCCTACAAAAGCCTTACTCAAATGGAAGCAAATAGGAACAAACTGTACTTGATGTTCTGAGCAGCAGCAGTAACAAAGCTTATACACCTTGGTGATGCTGACGTTTTGTTTTTTCCAGTAAAAATAAAACTGGGTACATTGGGAAAAGGCCATTTTAATAAGTGAAAACTGCAAGTTTAGAAAATTACTTGGCATTAAAGGGTTTGGATTTAGAGGCATGCATATATTCATCTACAGATCTTTTAGATGTAAAGTCAGAAAGTATTACACAATAGTAAAGGCGCCTCACCAGTTTCTCCCAGTAATTATTTGTAACTGGAACCAACTAAGTTTAAACCCAGTCATGATGGTGGTTTTTTATTTTTATTAACATAACACAGACTCAAATGTTGGAATGGTACCAAGATGCCTACTAATGTTACATCTGTTAAATTTGACAGTATAAACATCGGCTGTAGCCACCATGACCTCACCCATTATCTTATAAAGTTGTGTTTTGAAGACTGGAGATAAGTTTCTACTGTTACTATCCTTGTCTTTTGAAAATGGATATGACGAAGAGGAGGGAGGGGTGGGGGGTGTGGGGGTTCTGACTGCTAAATTAGCAGGTCAGTGTGCGGATTCACAAACATACACCAGGTAATCCTCCTTCCTGTAAAAATACTATAGAACAGTTTTTATATAGGTAGAGTTATGCCTGAATTATGCTTTCGGAGGAAATCGACGCTGTGATATATGATGTATCTGGACACCCCTCTCAATCTTAAGCTGTAAATTTCCACACCAATCGGTCGTTGCGAACTGCGCTGACCTGAAGTACAGTTGCATTTCTCGGGAAGTCCTTATGATTTTATGTGGAGGGTTAAGATGGGCTTCCGGTTAAATTCCGGATTATGAAGTAGATTTTCCGCTGAAGGATAATTCAGGCATTAGAAACCTTGTTTCTTCTATAAACTTCTATAGCGCTGGGAGTTATTTTGCAATCTCTGGCATCGCCCCCTGGTGACCTTAAAAAAGAATGAAAGGTTGAGCCGCTTTTCACATGTGGAAGCTTCGGGCGTCTTTTATACATTCATCTGGTTACATTATGTTATCTTGAGAATTTATACAACATTAGTCATTGCAGCTATTCGCCTCAACAATGTAGCTGATTTCAAAACTGTGTGAGCTGTCTCAAAGAAAATGGCGAGGTGCATTTCAGAAAAACACAAAGTGCTTTCATACCTTACACAGATAAGTAGGTAGGCTTTGTCAGAGTATATCTAAGCGTGTGTGGACACCAAAAGCTGGGCACATGTTGGCACACATGAACAACACTGTGGATAATCTGATGAAAAGTTGAGTAATTTATATATAAATATATTTATAAATGGATATATAGATAAAATATTGTTCTAGTAGCTCAGTTAGTGATGTTCAATGTCATTAATTTGGATTTCACTGCCTTATAAGGATATAAGCGGTTTTCCCTGCATACCTGCTTTGAAGCAGATGCTTCGGAGTTGACAGAGGTCTTTCCATGTAGGAAGGTTGAGCCAAGACTCTGGGAAGTAAACAGCTCAGTTTGCTGGAAGGATCTTGCACTTTGAGTGCCGTGGCTGCCGGAGGGAGCAGGTCTATTCCACAGTAAAGGCTCTGTATTTCTGCTCTGTCTTGTTTTGTTTAACTTTGTTCTCTCTTTTGGATAGCGCTCTCTCTTTAAAATATTTTTGTGTCACTTTCCTGGGAAAGGAGAAGGGAAAGAGTTTTAGTAATCATGATATCATTGTTGTATGTGTTTTTGATTGGTTCCAGAGGGTGCTTAAGCAGCTTCTGGCAGGGTGTATGTCTAGATGCTGGCTGTGTGCCCAGTTTAAACTAGTGAGCTGAGAGTTAATAAAGGTGGGATTAAGCCTCTAAGTGTTTCTGGTCAGCGTGTTGTCTCAGAACACTGGTTGCTGGTCTGGTTGAATCTTTTTCCTGGTGTGAATTGCTGTAGGATGCATCTTATTTGAAGTTATTCTCGCCACAAAAAGCACCCCAGCTGCCAGTGAATACTTAAATTGTAAAAATGTATTTCCACTGCTTCAATTTTGCCAGCGCATTTGCTCGTGTGCACACATGGGTTTGTTTGTTCTTTTATCATGTTGGCTTGTGAACAGACTGGTTGCTATTTGAACTGGAGATTTATAAATAGACCTGTATACTGCTTGCAGCAGGCAGAAAGCTAACGCACTCTATCCTGCACCAAGAAAAAGGTCAGGAGACTCGCACAAACACTTTACTTATTCCTGTCAAATGCACTGGGCCTTTTTCAATGAAGGTTGCCTATGTCACTCTCCCCTTTGTTGATTTGTGGCTTTATTTGTATCCCCATATCTCAATGTATAGTGTTGCATTTGTCCCTTTACTCGTCCTTTTGCTTTGCTCGAGGTAAGAGGTTTTCCTTGCCTTGGTGTCCTAGTGCAGAGCTGCTTTAAGCTCGTTGTATAACCCTAATCTAGTCTTCCCTGTAGATGTTCACCCTACCCCGCCCTTCACCAAGAGAGTGTGTGTGTGTGTGTGTGTGTGTGTGTGTGTGTGTGTGTGTGTCTGTGTCTGCTTATTGCTAGTGGATTTCTGACTAACCTGGCTGACTCCACCTGCTCCATAGTCTCTCGACAGGAGAAAGGATAATGCCATCTTCATATGTTAGTGACACAGAATCCAAACAAAGTAGTCTTCATTCAATCCCTTAAGTAAATACAGTGGCTCAGGGAAAGTGGTAGCCACCATGTTTCCTTTACAGCTGTGCTTGACCAAAACGATACCTCTTGAGGCTTTGACTGTAGGAGCAGTGGATTTCTGGTAGTTATCATGTGCCTTAAGCATGTTGTGGTTTAGTGGTTGGTAGGCATGGGAATCGAGAACAGGTTCTTGTAGAAAACCGGTTCCCAGAAAATAGCGATGCAGTCTAGAGATACGGACACTTATTTTTATTGCACAACAGGACAAGATAAATGATGGAGTGGAAAACTGCATCCCGGACAGAAACGACCGCATTATGCTGCTAACACAAGTTTAGTTCTTTGTAAGCATCTGCCAAGCATGCTAACACTAAGCTAGCCAAAAACCCAGAGAAAGGTCTTAGAGATGTGTCTTCAAGGATTTTTGTTGGTGTATGTGGGGGGTTGGAGCCTCAGGTTTATATTGTTAAATGGTGAATATGAGATGATGTGTTTCAGTAATTTTACAGAGTAACGTGAAAGTAATGTAACGAGTAGTGTAACTAATTGCTTTTGTCTGGGAGTAAATAAATAAAAAAAACTTTTTACTTTCAAGAAAAGTGTTCTGTGTAATATGTGTAAAAATTACTTTTGAGTAATGACTCCATCACTGATCACAAAAAGAAGTAGCTCAACAAACATGCACAAACATTTGACCCACAACATGCAAATAACGTGCATGAATTTCTTTATTGCTGCTTTGCAATGGTGGTTACTCTCAAAAAAGAGCCAATGAGAATCCAATGGCAATCAAAAATAGATATCGATATAAAATCTGAATGACTAATTTATCATATCAATATATTGATAATCGGTTCCCATCCCTACCAGTTGCTGACAGTCTTTTTGAAATGATTTAAAATGGATATATCCTGTAGCATTCACACATTTTTCTCTCTCCTCTTCTCTCTTTCTGTTCCTGCAGTGCCAGAGCATACCAAGTCAAGACAGAGTCCTTATTCTACTCAACCTCCCCCCTTTTCCCCTCCCCACACATAGCATACACGCACACGTACAGTCCTCAGCGATGCCAAGGGGGGCTGATCAGCCTGCTGCCCGCTCTGACAAGCCCTGCCTCTTCACCTCAGACCCTTGAGGCTGTGCTCTCTGAGCTCTGACGTTTGACCTCCCCTGTTTCGACCTGGGATCCAGAGGTCACCTGTTCTCCAGTCAGCCCGGGGACGCCCTCCTGCCCAGCCAGGTGTCACAGCCACCAGCGGCACTTATAGGTAACCTGTGAAGAGAAGGAAAAGGGAACAGATGTCACTTGCTTAACACACAAGAACATTGTCTTTTAAATAAAGCAAGAAAACGATTATGCTGTTATATTTAAATGGCACTGAACATTAACATGTAGGTATGTTCTCGCTCATAGCTCCTGATGTCTTAGCTCTTGTTCTGCCAAAGTGAGGATTTGTGAAATTTGTATGAGGCTATACTTGATTCACAGTGGCAGCTGTCCTCATCTGCATCCAAAATGATGGTTCATTTCTAAAAAATGGTTATAATCCAACAAAAATGTATGTTATAAGATTATTTGTTGCTACTTAGAGGTCGGCAGTCATTCTGTTACCAGCGCTAAAAGGAAAAGATCCTGAGTATTATTTTATAAAAAAAAAATTGCTTATCTTTGTTAAGATGCCGAATGGGGAGTTTTAATTGGGTTTTTAATTCCTTTGAGCTGGATAACCACCTTTACCTGCTAACTTAGATTCAGAAAACAGCATCTCACCACTAAACCCTCTGCACTTGTCTTACTTTAAGCTCTTACTTTCACGCTCTCGTTTTCTTTTGTCTTTGCTTGTCTCTTTTCTTTTTTTCCTTTTTTTGCCATGACTGTTTCTAACATTTTCTCTGCTCTGTTTTCTGCCCCTCAGCCTTTTTGACAGTCTTTCCTCTGTTTCCAGGCATGGCTCCCATTCGGGATTCCGTCAGCCACTCCCCTAATCAAACAGGTGACTACACATGGTCTTCTTTGATACTCTGTCTTCTGCAATTCAGTCCTCCTTCAAGTACCTTCTTTAGTCTCTGAGCAGTCATCAGATGAGTTAGACTCAGTCTGACTTGACCTTGGCTGATAATTTTATTTCTGACATACGAGAGACAGAGAGAGATGAATGAGAGAGAAAGTGGGTGTCAAAGGGTGGAAAAGAAGACTTGGCAAGCAAATGCGATAAGCAGCGAGAGCTGGCAACCATTTTATGTGTGAGAGACTTTTAAGTTGGGACCAAGTGGGCAGCCGTTTGGTTAAAGAGACTCGCACGTTACCAGGTTAGGTTCAGGCATCTGGTGAAGAAACATGGCTAGAAAAGGGCAGCTGCTGTTTTAAATGAAGAATGTTGTAAGCTCTGATTCAGATTGTAAAACGGTGCCTTGTTGAGCCGATGCCGTAGCCTGGTACGTAGCCATAGTCTGTGGTAGCCTGGTTGTGGCTGTCTAAATAAAATTTTCCTTTGATACTTCTTTGCACAGTAAAGTTACTTTCTGTTGCTTTTCCACTCACATCTGAGACTCAATGGGTGTTTGTACAGAAACCTGTATCGCATTGTTCTATGCAGTCTAATTTTAGAAACATGCCAGGTCTAATTTTATTTTTTTATTATATTTTGGGTGAGAAAAGGGTTTAAAAGTCTGAATAATTTAAGTTGCCACCACTTCATTTCCTTTGCCAACTGCTCCCCTCTTTCTTCCTCCATATTTCCTTTTTTCACACTTTGTTGCCGTCTCCCCTATTCCCTCCATCACTTCTCTCCTGCTGATGCTCATCCTCCACCTCACTGAATCCAAGTTTTATTGCTTTGGCACGCTTTTGGGTCCTGCTGTGGTTACAAAATGGTGGCAGCTGTGTCCAAGCTCAGCCCTGGCAGTGAGCACATCCAGAACAGTAGGGCAGCTGAAGCTTGGAGGGAAATTAAAATAAATAAAATATATATATATATATAGGCAACTTTGAGGGATTTAATTATCCTCAGTTTTTTAAATTTGGTAAATGTTACTAATGTTGTGTTTTTAACTTTATTTTTTCCGTGTTCAAACAATATCTTCTGTTTCCAATCTCTCACCAGGTCTGGATCATCCTGGCTTGGATTCGCAGTATGAGCCTCCCCCCTGGTCGTCTGGCTCTCCCTGCAGCAGTGACGGCAACAGCAACTGGGGCAAAGCCCTAGTAGACGGAAGCACCGACACCCCCAATAACCCTTCTTCAACCAGCTCTTCCGTCTGGCCTCCCTCATCTTTTTCTTGCTCATCCTCTTCTTCCTCTTCTGGCTGTGGATCAGGATCAGACCCCGAGTCGGCATCAGAATGCATGGACGCAGACTCTAGTTCCTCAATCGGCTCAGAGAGGAATCTTGCTGCTACAACAGTGATGATGATGTCAGCAAATGCTTCTTCGTCATCTGCAACTTCTTCCCCCACCTCTTCTTTGGGGAATGCTGCCATGATGGTCAGCGTTTCAATGAACGGAGATGGCAATGGCAACAGTCATCAGGTGGTTGGCGCAGGTATGGAAACCATCAGCAGTGCAAATAATGGAAATAACATGTCTGAGCCCTCACAGTACTCCATGGCTGGGTCCAACAGTATTGGCAGCAATAACATGAGCAACCACAACAACAAGCTTGTCAATAACGGTGGTGTATGGGGCACCCCTTCAGGCAGCAATGTGATCCCCACTGGCGGAAGCACCCCCTGCATCAATGGAGGGTTAAACCCAAACACTTTAAACCCAAATGCCAACCATGGTGCCTGGCCACAAAATTCAATCCCAAATCCAGCATCCCAGGGCCAACGGCCTCCACAGGCTCAGGGGATAGGTTCCAAACTAGGTATGGCTCCCCAGCAGGCCCCCTTGCTGGGCTGGGGCGGCATGGCAGCTCCAGACAACAGCAGTATGATGCAAGACACCGAGGTGAATAATGGTACATTAAGCAGCAACAGTGGAAATGGTGGCCTAAAGCCTACCAACCTTAACACTGAATCCAATGGACCAAATAACACTATCACAATGAATACTACTACTACTACTACTAATGCCACAATGACCTCTAGTCCACCAAACTCTACCGCCTCACCCCAACTCAGCGGGGATTGTTCTTGGGGTTCCATTGGAGGAGGGACCGGGGGTCCGCTGGCCAATGGAAACCCCTCGTCAGCACCCCAGCACCCCCAAGGAGAACTGGGGGGCAGTGGGGCATTCGGTACGCCTTGGGGCGCAGCTACCTACCCTGTAGACAAGGGCCCCCCAAATGCAGACACTGTGAACCCCCAAGTCCCCTCTACTGCTGCTTATAAGAGTAATAATAACCACAATAACACTGGGGCCCCACGCTGGGACCAGGGGCCCTCCAACACCCCAAACCAGCCTCAGAGCAACTTGTCCTGTGGCATTGGCTCAAATCAAATCCTTGGCTCTACAGGCCAAACAGCAGGAAATGGAAACCAAACGACGATGGGGCCCCCAGCAGCAATACCTCGCCCCTGGGGGAGCAGTGCGTCCTTGTCCTCATCGTCGTCTTCCACAACGCCTAGTAACAACCCTTCAGATGCTGGAAGTCACAAAGGAAGCTCTTCTAACAATGGCTGGAAAAGCCTGGAGGATGACGCCATGGGAATGGGAGGAGCAGTGGGAGGCAGTGGAAGCCATGGCTTGGGGAGTGTCACAGGAGGCTGGGGTCGCTCTGGGGGAAGCGAGGGAAGCGGTGAGAGCTCCGGAGGCCGTTCTAGCTCAGACAGAGAGAGCATCCAGACAAAGGGGGGAAGGAGCAGAAAAAGTCCCAATCCTGCATCAGTACTATCACTTCTGGTCCGGGCTGAAGTGGACCCGAGGGTCCTGTCCAACACTGGATGGGGACAGACGCCCATACGGCAGAACACTGCCTGGGATGTCAATTCTCCAAATAACAATCAGAACCAGGGCACCAGGGGAGATGAAAGAAAGCTTAGCAGTGGAAGCTCCGGCTGGGGCAAAACGACACCGGCAGCTCCCTCCCAGACATCTGGAGGTAATTTGCATGAATTTTTAAAATAAAAATAAATAAATCAATCTTATTAAGAATAAAATTAGATAGTACAAGGACAGAAAGTGATGCATCTTTCCTGTATTTGCAGGCTGGGGTGGTGGGCCAGGCAGCTCAGGCATAGATACAGGAAGTTCTGGCAGGGGAGAGCAGAAACCAACTTCTGGCTGGGACAGCAAAAGCCCACTGAATGGAGGAGCTGGGCATAGCGGCTGGGATGATGGAGCCAGCTGCAAGGGTAATAACAGCAGCAGCAACACCTGGAGCAACAACATTAACAAAGATGACAGGTAATTGATCAAATTAAATAAATATACAAGAAAGAGAGCGAGGGAGCTTCAAAGCTTGGCATATTTTTAAAGGCTTCAGGTAAACCCATGTTTTTGTTTTAGATCCAGTACCTGGAGTAATACCTCCAAACCACAGCAGGGCTGGGGTTCCAGCAGTGCAAATGTAAGTGACACCTGGGGTGCCAGTGGAGAAACCACCAGACCAAGCTCCAACAGCCACTGGGGAGAGCCCCAAAAAGGCGCAGGCTCAGTAGGTTGGGATAGCGACAGTGACCGGTCTGGTTCTGGATGTTGGAGCGAGCCGAGCCGTACCAACACCAGCAGCAGTAACACCTGGGTGGGGAGCGGTGGATCAAATACTCCAGACGTGAGCACTCCAAATCCAGGCTCCACCTGGGGAGAGCCAGTCCTCAAACCCAAACCTCAGAGTACCACTCAGGGCTGGGCTGAGCCATCGAAGAACAACACTGGAGCCCAGAACTGGGGTGAGCCCAATCCTAAGCCCTCTAACGAGTGGGGAAAAGGTCCTGAATCCAACATGTCCAGAGGCAGTCAAGGTCAAAACAAGCCCACAGGTAGTTATCGCATCTAATGCTAACTTTGGAAGAGACTTGACGCTGTTTAGAAAAGACTTTTCAGTGGGAGGACCAGAAGTTGATTACTCACTCATTTATTCGTATCACAGGCTGGCTGGGAGGCCCCATGCCCACAGTAGGTCAGAAGGAGGAAGTGTCGACTGGGTGGGAAGAGCCTTCTCCAGAGTCCATCCGCCGAAAAATGGAGATCGATGATGGAACTGCAGCTTGGGGAGACCCAGGTAGACACTCACTTTACAGCAAGTTTGCCCAACCCGCTGGGTTCAAGGCTATAATTGATGACTAATTACTTTTGATTTTTAGATTTATATTTCACCTTTTAAAAGTGTTTAACTTCTCTTGTTTGTGATCAGTCTTTTCATCAAACCTCACATCTAACTGTAGTTTTTCTGTTTTTGACACTATCCTAACCTGGACCTAAAAGCTCAAGTAAAAACACAAAATCCAAGTAAGAAAGTTGTTTGTTTGTTTTTTACTGTAATAACCATAAGCATGTTTATCTGTTTTTATGACTTGAAATTCAAATATAAACAGTAAATTTCAACAACTTGTGTACAAATTTTGCAAATAACAAAATTCAATGCAACTATTTGCATTAAATTGCAGGCAGTGTCTCAGGCATTTGTTGTTGTGTACAACTATTTACAAAACAACCAGGTGTCAAAAAAACATGCCACACAAGTTATTTGTGCCACTCCAAAAGAAACATTTCCCATCCAGTTCCAGGGTGTGTCTTATCTTCAATCTGCCTTTGGTGGCTTTTTGGCAAGCATCTGTGACATTTAGTAGTCGCCTCATTGTTTTGACGCACAACAAAATCAAACAAGTAGACTACACACCAAGCACAGAACATGCACACTAACTGTACACTCCAAACACTCAAAATGTCACAAATCTCACATTTCAACACTCGAAATCGATATGGCTCTTTTGCTCCCACACCTTTCTCTTCTTCCTAAACAACCAAATGCCATGTTGTTGCCATGGGAATTATTTGCCGCAAGTCTGGTTTTACTTGGTCTGTCAGCACAATTTAAACTGATTTATAGTTTCAAGTCTGCACTTTTGACACAAGTTGAAACAGAGACTTTAGCTTTGTTTCCACTTAAAAAAATAAAATAATAAATTCAGCTGATAAAATTGTATTTATTTTCCCTCCTAGGCAAATACAGCGGTGGGTCTGTCAACATGTGGAACAGGACTGGTCAACCAGACCAGGAAGCTGTGGGCCCCTCCCCTCAGCACCAGTCCCACCCAACCCACATGTCAATGCAGCATGTTAACCAGGACAAAAGCTCCGGTTCTGGTAGGTTGGATAATATTTGCACACCATATGAATACTCACGCACAGTTGTGGCTTTTACATTCCTGACTGTGAGAACAGGAAAGGACTGTGCATAGAAGAATGCATGCACGTGCCCAGACAACATTAAAACAGGTGGAAACATCGGTACACCACAGACTCGCACTTTTTCATTGTGTCGTCTATTCACACAAAAATGTGGTTTGCCAGGTTACAGCATATATTATTAATCACATATTCCACTTTATTTTAGCCAGAGTGGAAACTTATCATCAAAATGTGCAAATTCTTGCACAGATTGTCTTTGAGTTTTTAAAAAAATATATTAATGTGATTTAACACCTACGTCAGGAGCCTGGGGCAGTATTTAAAATGGTAGAAGTGCAAACCTCGTCATGGAGTCTGTAAGAGAGGAACAAGGCTAACCCAGACTCTCATTAAGATGGATAGAAGAAGTCCTAAAAGGGTTGAGAAAGTGCAAGCAAAGCCAGTGTAAATACACACGCTCACAATTATATACAAAGGCATACACCAATTTACACAGAAGCATGGCTGGAGACCAAACACGTACAGTCATTCCCTCCCATTTTCCCTACAGTGTTGTCTGTGTTGAAGGCTTTTTGAAAAGCCAGTTGAGTCATCCCTTTGGAATGCTAAGAGCATCGATTTTTCTCTTCTCTCATTCGCCTTTTTTTTCCCCTTCCCTCCCCCCTCCTCCTCTTCTTGTTCACCCGCCAATTGTGCTTGCTATAGAAACGCAGGCTTTTGATGGGTTTCAGGAAAAGAGAGTTAGAGAGACCGTGAGTAGCACAGGAGATGGTCTGCTGACTTGGAAATAGGACAGGTTCCAATGTGAGATGGGAAAACTAAAACGAGTAGGAGAGCTATTCTATGGAAGGGGCTGGAGGAGGAGAAAAGGAGGGGGCTGTTTAGGGTTATTCAAGGTTTCTGGTTTAGTGAGCTAACTGGAGGCGCTAAGTGGATGTCTGGAAAGGGTGGGACCCTCTCCCTAGCTACTGCATTGAGAAAATTAATTTATGGGTCTTGATTCATCTTAATTTCAGTTATTACCTAGTGAAGTAAAAAGTCTGGGTCACTTAAAGGAAATGATCAATAAATGTAGCTAAATTAGACTTTCATGGTGTTGCAAAATGTACGTGTAATCAAACAAAAACAGATGCTCAGGCTTATTCATACACACTTGCAAACACACACTGGTTAAAATTTCCTCTGAGTCCTTGTATCAGCTGATGCACTCAAGTGGACAGGGATGGAGTGATAGATTGGGGGTTATTGATTGGCAGTTTGTGTGTATTTGTGTGATGTGCTTGTTTGTGGCTACATGTATCTACCTGTTTGTGTCAGTCTGTCCTCTTGTGTGTGTATACGTGCATATGTGATGAACAAGCCAAGTCAGATGCAGGACATCAGTGCCAGAGGCCACCCCATGATCTGTCCTATTTTTACAGGGAGGTATCCCTGGCATCTCCCCAAACGTCTCCTGTGCAGGGAGAAAGTAACGGGCCTGGGTGGTCGGCTGTAACAAGAGCCTTTTGAACTCATACGTGCCCTTTCTTGAGCATGCATTCTGTTACATTTCAAAGGGTATAATGTCCTGCAATGACACGTGCATATCCACAAGCGTGGAAGAAAAACACTGCTTACATAAGTGAGTGGATATAGGGTTCCCCAGGGAGTGTTGCTCTAAGCTCTGGTCTCCAGTTTCAGCTAAGTGGGGAGAAATCTATATGAATTGCAACATTATCGTACATTTGGAAAACAGGTTGGGTCTTGCCACCTTTAATGTGATGCAGCCCACTTTCCCACTGGCCTAACATTGGAATTGTACAAATGTTAAATAGTGTTTAAGTACATCAAGTAGATTGAACCACAGAAACTGTACCCTCATAGTGATCATCTCATTTGTTCCTTCAGGTTGGGGTGAGCCATACCCCCAACAGAAGGAATCCGCATCATGGGGGGAGCCTAGTGCTGCTCCGCCTGTGACTGTGGACAACGGGACGTCTGCCTGGGGAAAGCCCAATGACAAGAGCTACAGTTGGGGTGACGGCAGGGATAGCAGGGAGTCTGGGTCAGGATGGGGCAGTCAGCATAAGTCTGGTATGTGCACAAAGCAAACCCTACAAACATCTGATTGCAACATCTGTAGATAATAAGCAGTCTGGTGTGACTAAAGTGTGGCAGAAAAGAGGTGAATTTACTTGCTAGTAATCTATTTCTACATCTCCCTCCCTTCATGATAGCTCCAGGTCCCAAGCGCATGGACACATGGTGTAGTGACGAGATGGGAAATAGCTGGGACCAGGAAGAGGAAGTGGAGATCGGCATGTGGAGCAACAATCAACAGGACAGCAGATCCCATGACCAAGTCACCTGGAACTACAAGCATAAAAGCTCTACTAAGGTACATTTATCTCATCTTTGCACTTTTTTCTATTTGAAATGAGGCCATTTAATAAAGGGATGGAGTCTTCTTTATTTATTAGAAGTTTTTAAAGCCGTCCTAACAGTGCTCCCCTCTGTCCACTCTGTTTCAGATGAACAAACCAGTCAACAAACAGGATGATCCCTGGATGAAACCCTTCATCGGCCAGTTCAGCAGCATGAACTTCTCTGTAAATATTATTAATCATTCAGTTAAATATTCCCTGTGTTTGTGTCCCTCTAGCACACACGGAGCTATTGATAACTTTCTTAATGAAAGTAGTGTTTCGGAAGCAAAAACAGAAGCTGTAAGTACAGAGGAAAGCTTTCTATTCACTATGAGACACTCGTTAAGTTAGTTTTCCACCAGATGACTAGGGCTGTGCGATATGACCAAAATCTCATATCCCGATATAACAATTCTATCGTCCCGATAACGATATAAATCACAAAAATGTAACATTTTCTGTAAATTCTGTGAATCTCGGGCAGCTCGACTTGTGGGAAGTGTTTCCAGCTGGGCGTCATGTAGCTGGAGTCGAGTGTTTTAACCGATGCATGAAACGATACAAAGAAAACAGCGGCCTTTACAACTTATGTCTAAAAATGTGATTATTTATTACACAGCCTGTTCTAACGTTTGAGTTTAAGGTTTATTTTTTAGCACCTGGCGGCTCTTTTTTTAATTCTCATCCATAAATAATCTGCTCTTTCACATGATTCAGTTTATTTTGAAAAGTCTCAACAGGATCTTGAGCTTTATTGTGAAAGATTTATGTGGAACATAAACAAGCGGACACGCGATGCTGTTACCGTTGTTGTTGCTAACCACAATGCATAAAAACAGGCGCTTGTCCGTCCGTAGTGTGGTTATATAAAATACAGAGAAAGAAAGAACTTAAATGAATAGAGCCACTACAGTGACCATCAAAACGATGAAAAAATATTGCCGTAAACAGTTTATTTTGCGACACCACGAAACAAACGATAGCGTAAAATGAAACAATAGACGCTTTTATATCGTCATCCGATATATATCGTTACATCGAACAGCCCTACAGATGACTCATGTCTACGTTAAAGCATGCTGAAGTGTTTGGTTTTTCAAATGTAATAAGCCCTGATTCAAAGAATGCAAGATTTATGCTGTTCCGTCTCCGTAATCACATTTTCTTGGCTTCGTTCTTGCAGAGGGACTCCCCTGATGACTCCATTAAGACTGGAGCAGGGATGGTGCAGGACAAGCGTATGGACATGGGCAGTATTGGGGACTTCAATGGAGTTATGGGGAAGAATTCTGGGTCTCGGCACCACCTCCACAAGGACTCCACCATGGATCGCAGTTCTTACTATGACAAGGTATGGAGAAGCATGAGCGGAGTTACATGTACAAGGTGTATTCTTTCCGGAGCTGTGCTGTATATGCAGGCTTGAGGTAAATAACTGATTCTCATAAAGGGCAATGTCTTAGTCTGCTGTTATGGTGGGGTAGGTGTAGAATGAAGTGTGCCTCTGGCTGTACAGTGCCTCACAGTGGGGGTTTTAATGCAGTGCAGCTTGCTGGTCTAAAACTAGTGTTTTATTTCACTCTTTCCTCATCATGTTGTATCATTATCACTAGAAGCAAGCACATGTCAGTACAAACTGTTCTGGCTCAGTTTGGCTTGCTGCGTTTCCTTTAGCACAGTGTGCTCCTTCTTATTAACTCTTATTTCATCCTGCTATCTCGTTTCTACCATCACGTCCTTATTTTTAGCTTCTCATTCTTCTCGTACCTCTTTTGCTCCCCACACTGTCCACTCCCTGCAATTATTTCCGTCATTTCCACACATTTGATTCTTTCCTCGACCTTCAACTTGTCTTTGGTTTTGAAAAAAAAAAATTAACTTTCTTCTTTTTCTTCCCTCTCTGTGCTTCTTTTGCTGCTGGTGTGCTTCCTGTCCCTGTGTGCTTACCGTCCATCTGCTGTGCACCTGGCCTTGCTTCTGCAGCTTTCACCCTCTGCTTACGATATCCCAGCTTCTGATGAACTCTCCTCCAATCAAAGCATGAGCCTTTCCCCCTCCAATTCTGCTCAGTCTGTCTCTTGTCTCAATTCTGGGCCGTCTGCTTCCCACTCTAGTTCTGGGGCTGCTGGGCAGGTGAGTGGAGAAGAATGAAGAGAGAGTTGTCTTGAGACGTTAGAAATTCCCTGTTTGATATGAAGATTTTTCACTTGATGCGAAGAAAGAATTAAATCAGTGATTTTTTCCCCTGCTCACATGGGTAATACCAAAGCTTTGCCATTATTTTTAGGTTGGGGCAAGACTACCGGTGGCAGTCTTCCCTTTGAGCAGCAAAGAATACAAAGCTGTGTTTCCACCAGAAAAGTGTACACAGAGCACTGCTGGGGGGTTAATGATGCTCTGTTCTCCCGCAGTACTGCTTATGGTGTGGGACAGCTGTGTGATGAAGTCCTAACCTAAGACATCAGAGAGAGAGAGATGATTGGGGGGTGATCAAACTTTTTCAGGCAGTTATGGTTAAGAAAATGCCGACAGCAGGCTGCTTTATTAGTAACTTTAACGATATTAGCCTGTTCAGAAATTATGTTTATCCACAGCATGGGCTCTATTTATGCCTGGAATAATTCAACAACCGTGGTAATAGTGGTGGAGAATTCCCACTTTAACTCTGCTCCAGAGAAACTGATGTTGGCTCTGAGCCTCATCCATAAAAATAGCTCTCTTTTTGTAATGGTGTGCCCTCTAGTGGACGTCATGGGATATTCAAATGGTGGGGGAGGTTTTTTGTTTGTTTTCTTTCTTATGGCAAGTTTTGACTGCACACAAGCGTCTAACCTTGTGTGGTTCATTCTCATTGTTTGTCAGGGTTGTTTCTACACTGTTTTACATTTTTCTTCTTTGTTGTTTTGTCTTCCCCCCCCCCGATTAGAATGTAAACCCAATGTTGGGCGGCAACACCGTAGCACAGGGCCGAGGTGGCCCCCAGTCCCAGCCCCCTCCTCAACCCAGTCTTCGTAATCAAGTGCCTCCACCCATCCTGCCCGCTCAGGTACCCCACATAAAAATAAAACGCACAAAAGGTCACACTCAGAGTGAGTTCTTGTCTCTGTTACTCCTGATTGTTTTCCAACACTCAGTCCCAAATTGTTGTTGTTGTTCAGGTTCCTTCATCCCTGTTGAAGTACCCGGGAGGCAATGGCGGTCTGAACCCTCTGTTTGGCCCTCAGCAGATGGCTGTTCTCAACCAGCTGTCACAGCTAAACCAGATCAACCAGATCAACCAATTACAGGTGAATACCGGCGGAAAAGAAGTGTATAGCTTTAGATTTTTATTTCTAGTTTTTACATGAAAACAACATGACAGAAATGGAGCCATAATTCCTAACTGTAACATTAACAACACGATGGGTTTACATTATTCTATTTCTCTGCAGCGTCTTCTCCTCCAGCAGCAACAGCAGAAGGTTCAAAGCCAGAGACCCATGCCTATGGGACGTCAGACTGAACAGGTGTGTGTCTGGGTGCTACTAAATTGCACTCGTTGTCCCAGTGGTCTTAGCTCCTTGGTTGCTTTCTCTAACCGTGCACCTTGTGTCCTTAGACACGTCCAATTGGTTCCTCTCCATCACCGATGCAGCCACCACGACACATGGACCCCTCGCTGCTGAAGCCGGCCGCGCCCCTCAAGCCGTACCTGGATAACTACATGTCCCACAGCACCCCTGAGATGCTGAAGGATGCTGCCACTCTTGGATCCTTCAGCAACTTCCCTTTAAGTAAGTCAACTGCTACTGCTGTTATTACAGATTAGGCACCCTAATCATAAACTAGTTTGACTGGGTGGAGAAGTGAGGTGATACTTTTTATTTGACACTTAAGACCTCAGATTTGTAAGAAGATGATCATGAGCAGGATAGATCTTGGGGATTACATTTTAGTTTTACCTTTTAAAATATGCAGAGAGTTCTTGATTATCTGTTGACATGTACTCTTCTGTCCTGTTTCTCAGACTTGAATTCTAACCTGAATGTACCCCTGGACATGGGTGTTGGTGGTGGTAGTGGTGGTGGAGTGAGCTATAAAGAGCCACCCCAGTCCAGACTGAAGAAACTTTGGGCTACCGACCCTCCGGAGCAGACCAGCAAACCTGGTACAGACAAAGCATTTAGTTTGTCACACTGCATGCTGTGGTATTGTTTGGCTTTCTGGGGGAGGTATCCATGAGGTGTTTACTATGTAAACAGTGAAAAAATATTGGTCTTTAAAGTGACTAAAGCATCCCCACACTTTTTCTCACTGCATACTTTAAACTCTGGCTTTAATGGTTTATATGTTTGTGTTTGTCCCACAGGTGCTATGTCGTCTGGGCTGCGTCTGGAGGACTCCTCCTTCTATGACTTAATTTCTCCTGGCCCCTCTCCCCTGAGTCCTCCCGGCCAATCAATGGGCTCGGTGGGCGATGGCTGGCCACCTCGTGCCAACTCCCCCCCGCCCCATGGAAACACTGTCACCTGGCCCCCAGGTACAGACGCCTTTAAATCCACCAGAATCCCCGAAGTGTTTGCGTTGAACCCTGCTGATGTCTGCCTGTGTTTTTTGTTCTCAGAGTTCCGGCCCGGGGAGCCTTGGAAAGGTTACCCCAACATTGACCCTGAGACTGACCCATATGTGACCCCCGGCAGTGTCATCAACAACCTCTCCATCAACACCGTCCGCGACACAGACCACCTCAGGGACAGGAACAACGGTAGGCCACGCACATGCCAGATCCCTCCCAATAACTGTAATGGTAGCACAGACCCACACTGACCCCTCCTGCTGATGTTTCCAGGGCCATCCTCATCACTGAACACCACGATGCCTTCTAACAGTGCCTGGTCATCCATTCGTGCCTCCAGCCACAGCGGTTCCCTCACCAGTACAGCACAAAGCACTTCAGGTGTGTAGTTTGGCTCTGCTTTAGTGAAGTTTAAATGTTTTCTTTACCTTATTTATTTATTTATTGTAAACTTGAAAATCTTTGTTAAACGGGTTTTGTTTTTCTGCTCTCGCCTTGCAGCCAGACCCAGTGAGTCAAAGTGGTCTCCCGGCAGCAGTGTGTCAAACTCCTCCCTAGCTCATGAGCTTTGGAAGGTCCCCCTGCCTCCCAAGGCGCTGTCTGTGGCGGCCCCCTCCAGACCACCGCCTGGCCTCACCAGCCAGAAGCCCAGCCCTGCCTCCTCTGGCTGGGATGGCTCTGCCCTGAGGCTGGGGGGCTGGAGCACCGCTGAGTCCAGATACACACCTGGTAAGAGAAGCACACCCTTTAACCTTAATTCCATGCTGCAAAATGAGCAGAACAGACTTTGGGGTTGTTGTTTTTTTTGTTTGTTTTGTTTTCAAAAGATTTCAAGACTGTATAGAGAAGCTTGCGATAAATTTTAAAATGCACGGCTCCTCTCCTGTGCAGCCTCAACTTGACCACAAAACCAGCTTTAGCATCCTATCCCAGCTGATGATTGACTCTATGGTGTATGTATTGACAGGTTCCAGTTGGGGTGACAGCAGCAGCTCAGGGAGAACCCAGTGGCTCGTTCTGAAAAATCTCACACCTCAGGTAGTTGTACTTTCATTCTGTTAACGTTATCACAATCATTACTTCCATGTTTTTTCACATATTTTTCACCTCTTATCACTTCCCGTGTTTAACTCAACTTTTCTTTCCCCTTCTTCCAGATTGACGGCTCTACATTGAGGACTCTGTGTATGCAGCACGGCCCTCTGATCACATTCCACCTCAACCTGCCACATGGTAACGCTGTGGTATGCTACAGCTCCAAGGATGAGGCCGCTAAGGCCCAGAAGAGCCTGCACATGTAAGACCATCACACGCAAATATGGGCACTTCTTACTTTTATTTATTCAGCTTCTCTTAGAGCAGATGACCTTGAATAAAAACAGGCTGTTGATGCCAAATTAACTTGTCATAGACAGATTAATCACAGATTTGTTTGACACTCAGTCAGATGTCCCCTTTACAGATAACACATGCATTCTTCCAGGCATATAACACCCCCCCCCCCCCCCCCCCCCCCCCAAAAAAAAAAAAAAACTCCCAAAATGAAGTGGGGAATTGCAGTAGTGGACAGTTGGCTGTTTAAATGGATGGAAAAACAGCCATATGATGTTGTGTACAGACAAAAAGTCTCTTGTCTAACCTGCTCTGTTTCTACAGGTGTGTTTTGGGGAACACTACTATTCTGGCTGAGTTTGCCAGCGAGGAGGAAATCAGCCGTTTCTTTGCACAAGGGCAGTCAATGGCCACTCCCTCCTCTGGCTGGCAGACCCTCGGCTCCTCTCAGAGCAGAATGGATCAGTCTCACCCCTTTCCAAGCCGCGCTTCTGAACCCAACCAGTGGAACAGCAGCGACCTTCACAGCTCCTCCCTCTGGGGTGGGCCCAACTATTCCAGTAGCCTGTGGGGGACTCCCAGTGGCACCGAGGCAGGGAGGATCAGCAGCCCTTCTCCAATCACCTCCTTCCTCCCAGTGGATCACCTGACAGGGGGCGGGGACTCCATGTGAGCTGCCCGCCAGTGAAATGGGCTCGGGGAAGGGTCAGTAGAGAATTATCAATAATCAGCAGAATAGAGACACAAATGTAGTTCTATAAATGCAATGGCACTAGTTGGACTCCTTCTCATTTACAAGATATTCAACAAAACGGGGTCTCCCCTGTGGAAAACAAGTTACGTTTCTCTCTCTGCACATATGTCCACTTTGTTTTAGCCCAAAAACATATCAGTCGGAATACTTGAATCATGCAGGCCAATTCTATAATGTGAACGGATGGATATTTGCCTCCAGGTAGTGCTCTTTCAGACCGAAAAAAAGCTTCAATCGAGCTCATTATTATTATATGTATTTTTTGTTTCTTTCGTCATGTTTATTTGAATTCCAATTCTTTTTAACATTTTATTTTTTTGTTTTACTTTTCTTTTCTTTTTTTTTTTTGCATTTGTTTGCTGACAATGTTGGAGTATGAGCTTTTTTTAACTTTGCACTGAATGTGTTGTTTTTTTCTCAGTATAATCTGCAATATAGAGGGAGCAGCCAGTTTTTTCCAGTGTAGCTGTTTACTCATTGAGGTCCTTACTGTGTGTGTTTGTGAGAATTACTGTGTGTGTGCGCGCGAGCTGTGAATGAGTACGTGTGCGCTCCTCTCTGCCTTGGCACGCCTACCTTACTGCGTTGTCGTGGAGTTCAAGATCAACAGATAGTTAAAGAATTAAACCTGACTTAGGATGATTATCTGGTGATAGTTCAAGTGACATTAAAAGTATTGCACCAATTTTGTTTTAAAACTAAAGAAAGTTGAGCTCTGCAGTGCAAAGGACTGTAGCCGCAGCTGGGACTAGTAAGCCCCGCCCATCCTAATATAGGGAGGCGGGGGCTATCTAGCAAGCCCCTCCCCCCCCCTTTCTCATTAGCCCCCTGGCAGGCAGGTTTTAGTGGGGGGGAGGGGGGGAACAGCACTTTCAGAATAGGCTTTCAATGTTTTGGAGGTGCCACACTGCAACCTCTTGTTTACAAGACTTGGGAGGCAGAAAGTGTGTTCATTCTTCATTTTAAAGAGAAGATGGAATAAAATTTTTAAAAAAAAATGCACAAAAAAAATTTCAAAACGCTTTAAAAAAAAAGATAAAAAATTTTTAAAAACAGAAAAAGTAAAAAAAAAAACAAACAAAAACAACTCTTACTGAGGATGAAGACGATGCTTTGTAACTCTGGGAATTCGGATCAGTGTTTTTTGGCCATGGCGTTGGTTATTTTGAACTATTCCTCTTTTTGTCTGCTAAATAACCAGCAATGGTTCTCAGGAAATCAAGCCAGTTTTCCCCCCTTGTAGTTTGAATTAAAGAAAAAAAACTACTACTCCTTGTAGGAAAGGAAAATACAACTTCTAGCACTGAAAACTATGTAAAGGTCTGTAAGTTTTCGTTTTTGTTCTCTCTCTCTCTGCCAAATAACTGCTTTAAGCTGGAGAAGCTCAACACACTGCTTTCAATATGCTGTCTTTTGAGGGAGGGAGGTAAGGTGTGCGGGGAGGGGGAGGTCGAGGACACTCCCGGCATTCCTTCTCCTCCTACTCTTCCTCCTCCTCCACTCCACCGATGTTTAAAAAAAAAAAAAAAATCAAGAGTGGGGATCGTTTAATGCGTGAGCGCGTGACTGTGAGCGGGGAAATCGTCGTGTCTCGTCAGACTTATAAACCAAGAGAAAGGCGACTCTGTATCTATGCATACTGTAGCCTCTCGCATTCACATGGCCTACTGAGAGGCGTTTATTTTTTTTCTCCCTCTTCGACCATGTGTCACAATGTTTTAGCTGTTTAACAAACATTACTCGCTTTTCCTTTTTTTTTTTTTTAAATTTCTCTCATTGCCACAAATGGTGTTTTGAAAAAAAAAAAAAATGGAACGAAGAGAAAAACAAAAATCAGAAAAAAAAACAAAACTCTCGTTTTGGTTGAAGAAAATATTTTAACAGTAAAAAAAGTCGTCCACATTTCATTGCCTTGATCCTAATTGTGTCCGAAGATGCAACAACAAGTCAAGTGGCTTCTACCTGTTTACAAAATGAATATGATTGTATTGTACTCTTTTATTTTCTTTCCTTTGGGGCAAAGGGGGGGAAGGTGGGGTACTCATCTGAAGTTCCTGACGTACGTGTGTGTGTGAGTGTGAGTGAATGTGAATTGTGGAGGTTTTGTGTGAGAACAGCGTGAATGTAAAATCCACCAGTGGCGTTTTTCTTCACAACAAGAGAATAACAGATTTATCTACCAGTGATTGTTTAGTTACTTTGATGCACAATTTGTTTGTTAGGGTCATGGGGGGGAGAGAAGTGTCAGAGGGGTGCATGAACGACGAGTCAGCATTAGCGAAGCCATGGACCTTAATTATCTTTTCTTCATCGTGTTTGTGCGTGTCGTCCCCCCCCCCAGTTCTCCTCTCTCATGTAGGTTTTTATTTCAGAAGCACTAGAAGCTTTAGGTTTTTATTTTTTAAGCTTAGCCCGTGAATATTTAACAACTTCAAAGCAAACGCAGTGAGACAGAACCTTGAGTATTAGCCAGACTTGACAGTGATGTGTGCCAGTATTGAACCGCTCTCTACCAAATAATTCAATCATACAAAAAAATTAGTTTACTTAATTCCAGATCTCTTTGCTTATAAATATATATAAATACATACTTACATATATCTCTTATTTGTATTTGTTGTCGTTGTGTTGAACAGTTGTTATCAAGTGGAACATCTGAGCTTTTTTTTGTTGTTGTTGTTGTTAGTTTTAGTCTGACACGTTGAACTGAGGAGACTTGGATTTTGCACTTGGGTGGATTCTAGAGGAAAAAGGCCGAAAGCAAAGCTGAGACAGATTTTTAGATTTTCAGGTCTCTCTGATGGAGAAGGTGCGCCTGTGAGTATTCGACAGGGTAGAGTGTGTGCGTGCGCACGCACGCGTGTGTGTGTGTGTGTGTGTGTGTACTGTGATTTGAGAAGATGGTGCTTTATTGGTCTCCCTTGGTTGGTGCACCTCCGGCTCTGAGCTGGGCCTGAATGTAGCTGAAACGGTTTGTAAAAGTATAAAAGACAGCGCAGCCTCAAACGTGCATGAGGGGCAACAAAAAAAATTTGTAATTTTTTTTTTTTTTTTTTGAGAAATTGAGCAGCAGTCACTGTTGCCGTGGTGTCGCTTGACTGAAACGAGGCTAGGAGGGGACGGGACTCGCGATTGGCTGCTTCTTCCTGGCTTTTCAGGGATAAAGGGTTGCACTTTTGCCTCCTCGCCGGCTTATCCAGGATCAGCTCCTCCTCTCCAACTCCTAAGCTTAACTACAGGGAGAGGAGACTCATAACTGACAGGAGGTCTGAGGCGGGGGGGAGGGGGAGGGTGGGCTCTCAACTGTCTATATTCCCTTACTGCTCAATGACATTACTTTACACTTTGTTCATTCTGATTTTTGGCAGCGCTGTCGTTCCTGGCGCTGATTTGAGAGCAGCTTTGTCCATCCTCAGTATCCTTTTTTCTTTTAACTATTACCGGGACAAAGGCTGACCCCAGATCAGCAGCTCAGGTGGCAGCATTGCTGTGCTGTTAGAGAAGGGACAAGCAACGTCTGGAAAACGCCTCTCAATAATGTCGTTACTGTTTTGGTTCCATAATCGTGTTTGTATCTACTGTCAGCCTGCGTGAGACTGTTTGTGTGTGTGTGAGTGAGTGAATACATCATCATGCCAAATCGAGGGAGGGAAGGAAAGGGATAAATCCTTTTTTGTTGTTGTTTGGTTGTAGTTGTGTACGTGTGCATACGTGTACTTAAAAAGCTGGACAATATTAAATGCTTGAAGATTATAAAAAATAAAAAATTTAAAAAGTCATTTGCAAAAGGATGATGTGAGGAAAACCTTTTTAGTAAAGTGAAAACCACCACAAGCAATGTACAATCCCCAGGGCTGCCAAGCAGCTTCCCGACAGGGCCAGACGAGGGGAAGGAAAGGAAAAGGAAGTAGCGGGCAGGAGGGAAGCTGGCTGGTGATACTCTACTACTTTTTAATGTTTAAGAAAAAAAAATAATGTGACTTTTTTGTGTTTCTCTTGACTTAAATATCCTGTGAGTAAATGCTATATTATATCATAACACACCTGACGGCTCCTACAGTCGATCAAAAAGCGCTAAGGCTTATTTTTTTGACAGGAAAAACAGAAAAAAACAAACAAAAAAACAAACAAAAAAGAAAAAATACAAAAACTGTGAGAATCTGCTGTCTTTTTTTTTTTTTGTCGTTTTACATTTAGTATGAACACACAAACAAACCCTGAAAAGCTTTAGTCTAACCAGCACAAAGATGTGGGCGGGTGGGGAGGGAAGGGTGGGTTTATCTGGGAAAGGGTGGGTGTCGCTCAGAGAGACTATGCAGTGGAGTGTTTGAACCCAGGCTTACATGTCCACCTTGGGTTTTTCTTCTTCTTTTTTTCCCCTGTCTTTAAATAAAACAAAAACAAAAAAAATTCCCAAAAAAATGAGTAAAAACCGCTGAAATGGGATTCCCACTAATATTCCTCAAACGTGTCGTGCCATCGTTAAATTGTACAGCTAGTACAGCTACTAATAATAACAATACAAACTGAAAAACCTTTATTACCTAGCAAACGGCGGGCCAGTTGTAGCAGGAGGAGGACAGGTTAAGATTTGCAAAAGTCCATTTTTGTCGATTTTTCTCGCAGCTCGAGCGAGGCCGGTGAAACTGCAAATTTTACACGACTACAGTGCTTTTTTTTCTTTTTATAGAGATTCTATCAATCCAGTGTGTAGTTGGATCACCTGTAAACCTATTATGCACATCGCTTTGGGAGACTGTTGAAACTATATATAAAATATATATATGAGAATATAATCGTACAGTGTCTATAATCAACGAGGGGGGCGTCTTCCTCTCTTGCAAACAAAAACAGGAAGTACCTTTTTATTTTCAAATGTCTTCCTCGGGTCATCAAAGGATTTTATCTTTAAACTTCGGTGGAATCTGCACTTTTTGAAGGACAATCTTTATTTGTATGGGTATAAAAATTGACAAAATAAACGAAGTCGCCTGATATTAATGGTATAAAAAACCAACTCCAGTGTGCTCTAATAATGAATGTCTCCTCTGATGCTGTCTACTTGTTTGGTTTCATTTTAATCCTTTTATTCTCCTTCCTTTTGTTGCTTGGTTTGTTCTGTATTTTTTTCCTCTTTATTTCTTTCTGGATTTTACTGCTCTTAAGAGAATCTGTACTAAGGTGTAGAGTAGTGAGTAGTAGGTCTTCTGTTGGCTGTACTCGTATACTGAATTACTGTTTGTAACCCGCTGGCTTCTGCAGCCAGCATACAAAGCTGTATAACTTGGGTACAACCCTCAATAAAAGACTAATACACAGCGGCCGCCTCCCAGAGTCTTTATTTCTCTCCGTGTGACTGAAAACTTCTGCTTCGTGCTCCCAACAGCATCTCTGGCTTCAGAAGACGCAGGCATGCTGCTGTAAATGAGGGAGCAGCTGAAAGTAGCTGCTGCTTTTGTTTGCTTGGACAATCTCTCAAGACAAGGTGATGTTTCCTGTGACATCAGGATTTTAAAGCCCTCTGAATGCTTTGGTTACTCAAAGAAAAGCTTTTAATTTGGTCTGGTTTATAGAAATCTGTCTTAAATTGAAAGAACTCAGTTTCGGTAAACTCCCACGCTGGGTTTGCTAATTTTATTATTGTGTAAATGTGTTAGTTGTGAGTTTATTTTTGACCCTTTAAACCAAAGTATCATATTTTATACGCAAGTTTTTGAGACTTCTACATTTATTTTTTTCCCTTTAAAAAAAAAAAAGTTGCACCACAAAAACATACCTGATGTAACAAATATGATAAAATTGCATATTTTTTTTACTTCATATTTTATTAATTTTTCATCGGGAGGTTCACAAAGCACACAATAGAATTTTCTCGCAATTATATAATTGGCCAGGTTTTAAAGGGTTACATTTTATTTTTTTTGTAAAGGTGCATTTAGGTCGGGTACTGAAATAAAAACACTTCAGTCCCAGCTGTGTGAACATCCTGCAACAATGGCACCTCATTCTTCATGTGTGGACACAAGATTAAAACTCAAGAACTGTCTTTATTGTAGTTTTGTCCTCATCTTACGAGGTAAAGAGTGAGGGAACATGAAGCTTACCTTTAAATCAGTGCACTAACAGGGTTATTGCATAGAACAGGGGTCTCCAACTCCAGTCCTCAACAGCTACTGTCCTGCAGTTTTTAAATGCATCCGTACTCCAATGCAGCTGAATCAAATGGTTGATTAACATTTTCAGCATGTCATCGGGTTTGATAACAAGCCAGTTATTTTATTCAGGTGTGCAGACAGTAGCTCTCGAGGACTGGAGTTGGAGACCCCTGGCCTGGAGAAAACAGATTTATCTGAGCTGCTGGTGGATGGAGCTGAAGTTAATCTTCTGGTTCTGCAGATGAAAGCTCTTTGTATGTTTAAAGTATTTACTGATTAATGATGTGGAGCTAGTTTAGCTTTATATACAGTCTAGAAACCACAGGCTTATATGCTTAAGCTGTATTTTTGGGAGCTTTTTTCCTTTGACAGGTCAGTAGTGGATGCAGGTGGTGTGTGAACCTCCCAGCATCAAGCTTCGGTCTACCTCCAACCCAAAGTAGATGAGAAATGAAAATAGATGGATAGTTATAGCAAATCCCAGCCAGTGGAAACAAACTAAAAGAAGTGCAGCTGAATCTGGGTCCTTTTTACTGGACCCAAAGCGGAGTAACAGCAGACACGAAAGTGTACAATGTGTCTTTATTGATCTATTAATGACAAATTGTACATGGGACCACAGGGCGGAGCTGAAATGAGAACAAAGCAAACCAGTGATATAATCTTGTTTAATATTAATTTTTTTTTTTATCTCCAAGCTCTCCTGAACATGTTCATTTAAATACAGTCAAACACGAGACAGCTGAAGCCAACGTCGCCATAATGGACACAAGAGTTGAAGTAGGAAACTGTTTGGTGCTCATCTGCTTCACGAGAACTTCCTGTTGGGTGGGTGGAGGTGACCCTATCTGGGCACAAAGGAATATAAATTGAGCACCGACACAACGTGTGACCAAAGACAGAAAACGGGGCCTGATGGTGACTTGCCTCTGGTGTGCTACAGAGCATATTACTCATAAACGTCTTTCTTGTCTGCGATGTACTGTACGATCTCCTCAGGAGTCATCAACTTCTCTGCTTCTGCATCTGGGATCTCAAAGCCTGCGGCACAAACAAGTTACTGGTTACGGCGTGTGCTAAAGAAGCCATGTGACATGCATCGATAATGCTGGACGAATAAGCAGCTTTCTGCACAGATGGTCACAAACATCTCGCTGGTACTACGTCCTCAACTGTAGGTCACACATATTAAAAGCTGTTAGTCTATTATCTTCACTGATCAAAATAAGAAAAAGTCCTCTGATTCTGATTTAATTCTTCTCTCTCAAAGCACTAACAGCACGCCTCATTCACACTCCAACAAACACACTGAAGTTTCGGGTTCAGTATCGTGCCCAAAGATGCTTCGGATCAAACCACCAACCTACTAATTAGCAGAATGCCTGCTCCATCTCCTGATCCACAGCCACCCCTGTTTAAAATTTACCTCCCAAACAGATTATATAAATCAGCTGAATTATTACAAGTCAAAAAGTAAAAAGCAACAAACTGCAACCTTCATTAACCTTCTCAATCAATTTTCAAGATAAATCCAATAAATACTGTAGAATGAGGTGTACTACAGTGTTTCTACCACAGGATATAATCGGAGCATATCCTGCTTTATGTGGGACGTCCACACAGAGTGTCGCATTTACCCTCTGAAGACAAACTTGACAGCACTTTGACACTGCAGACGCTCAACAGGCAGGAAGACTGCAAGACTGATGTTTCATATCCACATACTCCCACTGTGGCTGTACAACAGCAGTCACAATCTGCACTTTAGGCATCGTAGGAGTCAGAAACATCTCTTTTGCTGACTTAATGCCTAAAGCCACAGTTTGGAATAGTTTTCTATGCAGTATAAAGAGGTTTGCTCTCACCAAACTCATCTTCCATGGCCATGATGATCTCCACCTGGTCCAAGCTGTCCAAACCCAAATCTTTCATGAAGTGAGAGCTCGTCTGCAGCTGTGGAACAGAAACCAACCCGAGCGTTAGAAATCCAAGCTTACTTATACAGAAACTTACAAACACTACAGGCATTTCAGGGTGCTTTAAAATAAAAACAAAACCAAATCTACATGAGGAATGATAGTATTAATTTTAGATTGTTTTTCCAAGTTAAAAATCTAATTGTTATTAAATTCAATACATTAAAATCAGTAAACTTTTCAAAAACAATTTCCATGAGCCATTCTGGACAGGGATGAGTCACGATTGCCTAATTTCACCTCACAGACGCCTGCGAATGTATTCTATTCATACATGTTTCAGCTAGAATTCACTGAAGGTCTCTTGTTGTTCTCACCTTCTCTGGGTTGATCTTGTCGTAGAGCTTGAGTACATACATGACTCGTTCTTTGATGGTTTCTAGAGTGAGGGGGGGCAGGTCTCCGTACTGTCGGCACAGCACACCCACCGAGGGGATCTAAGGAAGAAGAAGAAGGAAGAGTTTTAGTGCAGAAGGGAGTGGGGGGTTGTGATCATGCAGCCTGTACATTAGCTTGCCTTAAGTGAGTGTGTATTACATACAGTGTGAAAAGATGCAATATCTTCCAGTACACTGCAACAGTACAGATGTAAAGGCTGGAAAAGGTTTATCCAAGTTTCAAAATAAAACTTAAATCTTACGGAACTTTGACCAAGAAGAAATCTGTGCTGGTCCTGAAGCTTTTAATGTGTGGCTGATTTTATTATCTCGTCTGTAATTACTGCGTTATGGTTTCATTTGACTAAATTTGCAATTAAACGCATTTATCAGCGCATTAGTGTTCACTTACAACTCTGCACACAGCTCGCTAAAACACCTGTAACATTTTTTCTGTGTTATACAAACACACTTATCGTAATACACAATAACATCCGCACTACAACAGTCTTTTACCTTTCTGCACATTAGTACCCGATGTTTAGCCAGAATCAGCCGTGCAATGCCAAGATAAAGAATGAAGTCTGTCAATGAAATCACCGACTTTGCTAACTAGCTAGCTAACCAACAGGGCAAACATGGCTGTCCCGTTTTTAAAATCAAACGCCTCCGTGTTTCGTGTTTCTCTGCCACAACAACACAGAGTCGTTCAAAGCGAAGTAAGCTTCTCGTGTGACACCGTGAACTCTCAGCGGGCTAGGCTGGCTCCGCAGGTCTGAAAGACATCGGTAGGTCACAGCGGCTAGGCCGCGATGGTTCAATGTTACCGGAGACTCACCCGGCTCTGGACGAGCCACCGCGTCCTCCGGCTGTCTGCTGCGAAGGAGAGAGGTCGGTGGACGGCCACCGCCTGGACGGCAGTGACTCTTAATGCGAGGTTACTGGAGCAAAGCCTCAACGAGGGCTGAGCAAAGGAGCGGACACACTGCTGCAGGACACGAGCCGCCATGACGGAAAGCAGTTACTGAAAGCTGCCAGCGTGCGAGGCGAAGAAGAAGAAAAGCGGGTCAAGGGCTCCGTGTTGCGCATGCGCACAGTGCAAACCTTGTGTTTATTTCTAATTTGTCGCTTTATCTGCGCTTTTTTAAAACTGTTTAAACATTTCTCACCACGAGCACATGGGCATTGAGAAACTGCCAATGACTTTGATTTAACTGGAAAGTAAAAATGAACTTTCACATTCATAAAACAAGACGTTGATTGTGCATATGAAACAAAAACAAGTATAGAAGATGTTGCTTTCAGCTCTTTAGGTGTACAATAAGAGCTCCTGTTAAAATGAAGTTATAAAGTCTACACAAATTAGACAATAAAAATGGACAAAGACAAACTTTTATTCTCAGTTTCTCTGGATTAAGCTGTGTTTTTCCCTTTTTCTCTGCCTCCTCTGGTAGCTTTGACTGCTTGATTGCTAGATCCAGGTAGCAGTAATGTCTCCAGGGTTTCAGGCAGATTACACTTCAGTTAGTAAGAGCGACAGTCTTTTTCATCCTCCTGTTTCTTCTGCATCCGTCCCACCTGCCTGAATAACATATCCTCTGAAAAAACCCTCGAGTGTCCACAATCACACCAAAGTGCTCTTCCTCTCTCTAAAGGTTCCAGCTGCTTAAAAAAACTCTTGTTTTTAACTTTGCCCATCAGTGCTGCACAGCGCAGGTAGCTTTTCATGCGACCACTTCAGTTAAACCCAGCTCAACCCTCTCAGTGTCTTTAGTCTCATTGGAGATACTCCAGAGTCTTTATCACAATCCTCCACGGCGTGGAGCTGTTTCACAGAGGAGCCGTCTTACTGTTTGTCTCAGGGTTCATTAAACAAAAAACACAACAAAACTTACATATGGATATGTATATCTATGATAAAATAATAATACATTTTGTAAGTTGTTTTTTTTTTTTGACAAAGAACCAATATGTGGCTCCCTATTTTTAAAAATGTCAGACAAGATTAGTCCATATCATTAAAAAAAGAAGAATAACAGCAAAAAAAAAAAGAAAATCCCTGACACTATCACAAAATATACAGACAATTATTCCAGGGTTTATAAAAGCTTTACTTATTATTATTATTATTATTATTATTATTATTATTATTATTATTGTTATTATTATTAATAATAATAATTTCTTTTTTATTTTTTATTTTTTATTTTTTTAGCTTTACACGCGCACATTTATTATGTCTGTTTTTTGTTCGATATCTGATATTTTAAATAAAGTTATTTGATGGCGTCACGTCCGGGCTTGCGCAGAAGACAAGAAGAAGGAGAAGGAGCTTCCCATAGAGAAAATCCGTATCGATGCTTTAGATCGTATCGCAGAATAATAAACGCCGTTTGATAGTTCAGCGGGTTTCCAGCCATGGAGTTGTCTGAAATACTGTACAACAAAGCGGAGTACATTGAGACGGTACTGTGTGGAATTTTAATCACCGCTGCTTAAGCTAACGTAGCCTGCTATCTGTCCAAGCAGAAAGTGAACGGGGCGTTGGGCGGATAGCAGAGACGGTTGTTTGTACTCATTTATGTGGACAGACACAGACACGATCGTTCACACGATTATAAACAGTGGTTGTTGTTTTATTTCAGGCTTCTGGCAACAAAGTGAGCAGACAGTCGGTACTATGTGGGAGTCAAAACATAGTCTTGAACGGCAAAGTAAGGAAAACACACACCTGGAAACGACACTGTGAATAGAAAGTGTCCAGCTGTGCTAAAGCTTTGGATGTTCTCTCTTGCAGACTATTGTTATGAATGACTGCATCATCAGGGGGGACCTGGCTAACGTCCGGGTGGGCAGACACTGCGTGGTGAAAAGCCGGAGTGTTATTCGACCACCTTTCAAAAAGTTCAGCAAAGGGTAAAGTATCTTTGACACACGTTCAGGCCAGCCATGTGCTTTTGTGTTCTAGATAAAGATGCTTTGAGATTGTTTTTAGTTATTGTCACTCAAAATATATTTAAAGTCACTGTACAAATGAATAAAGGAGAGAATATGCTAAGTAGAAAAGCATATTGTCTCATCACTGCCCTGTCCCCCTCTGCAGGGTGGCTTTCTTCCCGCTGCACATTGGAGACCACGTCTTCATTGAGGAAGACTGCGTGGTCAATGCAGCACAGATTGGTTCCTACGTCCACATTGGGAAGAACTGTGTCATAGTGAGTGAAATAAAATCTCACACACGCACACAGCTAGCTCCTCGGCAGTGAAAGGACATTGCTGTGAAGGGGTGGGGCGGGGGGTATAGACAGAAAGCATGTCTTTATTGCCTGTGGTGAACCAGTCACATGGCAGTCATGCAACCTTCTGCTGGCAGTCGAGGGCTGAATTAATAAACAAAAAAACACAAGCTGGCATTTTTTTTTCCAAACTGTTGATTTGGATCACAGAAATGGGGACTTCACTTAATCACAAATTAGTCATTATGTGTATATATATGTATGTGTGTGTGTGTGTGTATATATACACACATATACATATATGTATATATATGAAAGTGCATGACTTTGTGATGTTTGATGATGTTTCAATTTCTTTTTCCCATTATGTGTGCAGGGTCGCCGTTGTGTGCTAAAGGATTGCTGCAAGATCTTAGACAACACCGTGCTTCCTCCTGAGACAGTGGTGCCACCTTTCACCGTTTTCTCTGGATGCCCAGGTGAGCAAAACGCACACAACTAATCAATAGACCAGCATCTTTCTACTTTTCTGTCTTCGTTCTCCTCAATGTCTGGTCTTTACCTGCGTTTGTCTCGCTCTCTCTCAGGTCTGTTTTCAGGAGAGCTCCCAGAGTGTACACAGGACCTCATGATTGATGTAACCAAGAGTTACTACCAGAAGTTCATGCCCCTCAGCCAGATATGAGTCGCACTCTTAAACTCTCAGCCAGGACCTCTTCCTTTGTTCAGCCAGCCGCACGTTGGGGGCTCTCATCAGACTCTTAAGAGCTCACCTTTTATCTGTCATCGACCCGAGGCCTTGAGTTTAATTTCCCAAGAAAAAAAACATCACGTGTTAAAGTTAGATTCAGTTGCACAAAGCTACCATGTGTTGGCATCTCCAAATTTCTGAGAAATAAAATGAAATCCCGTTAGATGTCATTCTGATGCTTTGCCCTGTCCACTGCATCACGGAGAAAAACTCGTGGACCCCCTGTGTGGCCTCGTTGCCGTCTTTACCCGATGGCTCTCTGAGAGCAGCTGCAGATGAGGATGAAGAGGTGGAGGAGCTACGAAGGATGCAAGAACATGGCTTTTAATATTGAACACCCACGGACCAAACCGTAGCAACACTAGTCCTTTGAGGATGTAGGCTGAATGTGCGTATCACTCATATCAGCAGAAGACACATTAATTTTACTATGGCTGTAATTTTCTTCATTGTTTGCTTTTTTTTGTCCCTTGCTGGACATTGTAAACTGTTCAAGTATTTAATATTGTTTTTATGTTTGGGGGATGGCCCTCATTGCTCCGCTTCTGCCGTTTTCTGTGAGACAAAGTCAGAAATAGTGAAGCATATGAATAAATGTAAATGACTGAAAACCCTACAAACGTCTCAAAGGTGTTAACTTTATCTGGGATCATTTACTTTGGATTATACGATGATAGTTTTTTACCACAGTAATGTTATTTATTTACTGATGTTCCTGAGAATGTGCAATCTGCTGATTTAGAATCTGCAAAGGTTTCCTGCTGATCATCTATTAACAGGGGTGTCAAACTTAAGGCCTGGGTGCCAGGATTGGCCCAGCAAACACTCTAATCTGGCCCACTTGACTGCTTTGGAAATGCAAAGGAGAGCATACATTTTACACTGTATTTTTTTTTTTATCAGTTTTACAGCTTTCTTTCATATTACAACAACATAATTAAGTAATAAATGGTTACATTACAGACAAGTTCCTCTTTTTCAGTTTATAATATAAAAACTTTTTTTTTTTTAGTTTTACATTTAAAAAAGGCCTTTTTTGTCACGTATGAAAACTGAGACACACTGTTGAATATTGCCTTATTTTTCTTATATTAAGATATCTCACAAATTAAATGTGAAGTTTTTAGGTTTTCACTAGTTTAGCTCACTCAGGATCAAAGTTGTCTCTATATGACGTAATCATTTATTTGATGTCACTGATCTAGTAGAAATGTTTGTTCTACCGCTGTCCTCTGGCTGCCCGTAGTGGTTTGCATCCAGTGGCTTTTTAGGTGTGAAGTTTCAGGGACGCCTCTGGTCATTATTGCTTTATTAAAACAAGAAAGCAGGAAGAGAATCAGGAAATGACCCAGCGTGGACTTTAACCCCGGTAGCTGCATATTTCCCACAACATGCAAGTCATCTGCTCAACCTGGTGAGCTAAATGACAAGTTAGTCAAATGTCAGCAGCTTTGTTAACAGAAACATTTCTAAGTCTCCAGACTGTTAATACTGTTAACCTGCTCCTCATTTATGCTTGAGAAGAAAAAAACAGTTTCGATACTTTGCTTATTTACTGACGAAGTTAAAGAACTGCAAACTGACAGGGAAATGTAGACGTGAAGATCATCTGAAGCAGAAGAGCTGTGCTGCTGTGAAACGTGACTAAAACAGAACACACTGTTTAGAACAGGAAATGGCACCAAGAGGCCTTACTGCCTGTTTTTAACGGTTATATTTTGTCTTTATTCCCATTTTACAGCATCTTCTTTCTGAAAACACTGTCCTTATTTTTAAAATGAAACAGCCGATCCGATTGCGATTCAATGGTTTTATTTCCTTTACAATGTGAACCACATATATCATACCAACAATTAAATGTTCAGTATATAGATTAGCCATTTATTACCTTTTTAAACAAATAAGAAACAGCTGATGATAGTGTTGGCTCCAGAGACTTTGTGGCATGAGTCACCCTGATGAAACAATGCGGATGAAGGCTGCGACTGGCTCAGGGAAGAAACAGAAAACAGGGTGACCCCAAGCTGATCTGAGGAGGGGGAGCGGGGGTCAACTCCGCAGGTTTAACAGTGGGACTGCAAAGACGGCACAATCCTGCTCTTATCAAACTCTTCAATCAAACCTTTGGGAAGAAGACATCCTTTGATAGGCTCAATCTTTAAGTGCTTTTCCTGTCAGCACACACACTTCCCTGTAACTGACATGACGTGGAACAGAAACAGCAGGCGGGTGAAGCTACTAGTTTGTAGCCGAACACCTCGTTTCGTTTCAGAAACAATACTGCCGAAGTGTTAGACACAGAACAGCGAGCCAAAGCGTCTAAGAGAAGAAAACTAGAACATTTTGAAATGCATTCCTCTGCTTTAATGAAGAGCGTGTGGGCAAGCAGACCAGTCAGTCCTCAGGAGCTACACCACCTAAAACAAAATAAATTTAAATACTTTTTTTTGTTTGCCAAAGTTGAAACTCAGAGGTTTAACTGCACACGACCTGAAATGTGACTTTACGGCACATTTGTCTGTTTAAGAATCAAGGTTGGGTCCTATGTTAAGATTATTCACTGAATCAGTGATGGCTGAAGCAGCTCAGCTTACCAGACACTTAAACCCCACCTCCCCTCCGCCCTCTGCAGGCAAAGCTGAGGTGTTCAATACCAAGCTTACATTTTGAGTCTCAGCGGTTTCACAGATCCAGGACTTTGACAGATCGCCAAACATCACCCGGGTTCTTTTTCCTACTGAAAAGCCTGAAATCATAGGAACATAAAAGGCAACCTAGAGCACAAAAAAGAAAACGCAAAATGAAATCGGTGACCAGAATTTAAGTTAAAAAAAACAAAATAAAAAACCAAACTGGCATGCTTTATACAACTAAATAAAGGCCACTTCACAGGCCATAAAATGTGAAAGGGAGAGAACTGGAGTCAACATGAGGAACAAACGGAGAAGAAAGCAGGAAACATTAACACCACACTGGTCACTTCCTGTGCGTAATACAGGTAGAACAGCGCGCTGTAATACTGAGACAACTCAAGATTTCTTTAATCATTTACACCCACAAACATGCTCAGGTTTAGCTCTGATAACATCACGTTAACATCCTAAAACAAACCGATTCCTATTGCTTTGTTTTACCCCGTTTATTGACTCATGTGCCATTAATGTCTCCTGCTCTGCTCCCTCACTGAATGTTGGAAGTAAACAACCATTGTAGGAATGAAACTCAACCCCATGTTACTTCGTTCTGTACCAAGTTTAAAAAAACAAAACAAAAAAACGAACCCATCCACATTTTATTAATGCACACACCCCTTTCACAAAATACAGACAGCATCCATCTTCCCATCCGACACGCTGGCCCAGTTACCTCGTGTGCGCCGGGTGGCATGTTTGGTGGTTGTTTTTGAGCGTGCCACCACTTCTAAAGCCTAAAAAATTAAGTTCGGCTTTTTCTTCCAATATCTTACACCATATGTCAAACAGTCTCTGCGACGTGTTCAAATAATTTTGAAGAAGTGACAAAAATCAAGTGAGTGCGAGAGCTCCTGTTTTATTTCTAAGCATCCCCACACTTAAACCTCTATTCCACAAAAGCGGCGCCGAGCCAGTTTTTCCTGGGAAACTGCCCACGTTTTTAATCAAGTTAGAGGGCTAAATGTTATCGAGCATCTTGAAAAGCACGGTGGACACTGAATCTGACGACTGCCATCAGCATGAGTGGTTCTAATTTTGATGAGCGGTGCTGTGGCGCCTGGCTGAAATGCATGATTACATCAGCGCCGCTATTTGTAGAAAAGAGGTGAATGTAGTGTGTGGACAACTCATAAGTGTGCACGTTTAGGGCCGGACAAAGGTACAGCTGGAATAAAAATGGAAGAGCCGATTTATTTGCATGAGTCAGAAGTGAAAACTAAGTGCAAAAAAATCCTTATTGCAACTCATCAGAATCATCCCACGACGACGGGAAAACAGCAGCTGCTTTCATAATAAGACCAGAGCAGAGGGGGTAAGGGGCTGTTGGAGAAGCTGCATAAACAAAGAGAATACAATTCCTTTTCCATTATCCTCAACAGCAACAACAACAGGAAAAAAAGTGGAAAAAGAACGGAAAATTAACTTGGCTATAGCTGCTGCAAACAGTGGCAACAAACCTAGAATTTTAACACTGGTGGTTGAAAAACTACAAACAAAGAAAAGGTGACGGCCTGAAGTACAAATCGAGCCACCGTAGAAGCAGAGCACTTAGCAGAGAATAAAGTCTGAATGGATGTCCAAACACTGACAGCCTGCTGTTGTAGTTAGACGCCGTCAACCTAGTAGCCAGACAAACTGAACTGCTTACAAAGTGGCAGATGAGGCAGCATGATGCCACAAACACACACCCATACTCCTACTAGGCGATTTAGCTCCACCACTGACAGGCTACGCCAACTAAGAGCTGCAATGATGAAGTAACAAAAAGGGGGGTGGGGTTAACGCAGGGGTGACTCGGGTCCAACGTTTGGCGAGCGACACAATCCACTGAGTGAAGCGATTTGATCATGGCCCTCACTTCCTTATTAAGGTGGCGGGTGAGGATGAGTGAGGTTAAGGGAGGGAAGGGCACAAATGTGTCAAAGATCAAAGTGGCTTTTACTTGTCGAGCAGCACGGAGCGTTATTGCCCCTCTCAAGAACTGTGTGGATCCCAGGATAAGTCGGGAACTTTCTTCGTTGTCTCCTTTCCAGGGCGGTGTTTGAGGAATGTGCGAAGTGGCTTCCTGGTCACGTGCACACACTCACGCCCACTCGTTAAGTGTTCTTGATTGTAGATCGATGATTTGTAGTATACGAGCTGGGAAAGGAGACAAGGACTAGAATTCGAGAGCTTTCAGTCCTCGTTTTCATCTTCAGCCGAAGCATCCGAGTGCGCGTGACTGTACATCTGCACATGTCCCACACGAGCCCATCCATCCCCCCGCCCCCTCTCCTAGCCTTGGCTTTGAAGGCTAACCCACCCACCATCCCCTCGCCTCGCATGTAGGCAGGGGCAGATCAAATCATCCTGTTGCGTTTGTGCGTTGGGGAGTCTGTGATGACATCACTACATTGGGTGGAGTTTCGTTTCCTGGTTCCTCCCCCCCCTCCGGCAGAGGCGGCGCCAGTAGAGTCCAGATGCAGCGCCATCTCCTCTGAGATGAAAGTGTTTAGGTCGACGTCTTGGAGCCCGTTACGCCTGCTGCGGCACACCGGCCCAGAGCCGGAAGAAGCACCTCCGCTCGCACCACCTCCGTTGCTGCTACTCCCACTGACATGCGTAGGAGAACCCGGAGCACCGGAGCGGACGCTGATGCTCGCCATGGCACCACTCAGACCTGAAGAAGGAGACGAAAGAACAGGAAGTTTAGCAGCAGGTAGACGTCTACATCTCATTTACAGCCTCTGATAAGAAGAAAGCTTCCATTAGGCCATTAAAAAAAATGATAATAATATATTTTTTTTAAAAATTCAACTTTGTTTATCTTTTAAATGGTTGATGGACAAACTCATTTTTCATAAAAGCCAAAAAAAAAACAAAACATCAGCATCTGTTCCCGTCAAAAGAAAGCTCTAACTATCAGCTCCTGATTACGCAGCTATTTCAGGAGAAAGTGACAGCACTGAGTAATATTGCCATTTTCTCATTTCCAATGCAACAAATGAAATAATTTCAGGCTGAATTCATCTATTTAAAAAGGAATGAAACACTCAGCACATTGTTCATGTTAAAAAAAAAAACCACCAATAGCGCATGATCCAATCTGACAGAGATATACAAAAAGAGAAGGCTTGCAGTTAATCACCATTTCCCTAATTTCAACCAAGTTAAAGTTAATCTATCAGGCCTGATGATCACAGCAAAATACAAACAGGTGACAAACTGTGATGAACTGAAATGTCAGACTTCCGTTTCTGTAATCTGACCCAGTCTGACCTCAGATGCACCCACAATGTGACGCTCGTCAAGTTCTGAGTATTTATTTGTGGTACAGCACAGCAAAAACTACCAGCATATTCAAATGGAACTTAATTATAGAAAGGTGAGTAATAGGAAACAATCTGTCTTTCGATTAGTCAAATAGTGTCTTGCAAACACAAATGACAGGAATTGACCTGGAAAGGAAAAAAAAAAAAGAGAGAAAAAAAAGAGTGCTTTCACAAAAATACCCTTATCTCTGAGCCACATGTAGCAGAAGGACAAGCCTCCAATCTCTCACAGGCGTAAACACAGAAGGCCTCTCATGAACACATGAGAGGCCTTAAACACAGCACTGTAATGCTCAGACATGACAGACCTGTTTAAAAGGTCTCCTATGAAAGTCCTCATCTCACAGTCACTGTGGAACATTAACCATTTATCTATCAAACTTAGGAACCAGGAGGTCACACACATACGTTTACGAGCATAAATAACACACACAAGTTATTTAACATTGTAGCTACCACTGAGGGGGTGTAAGTCAATTCTGATTCTTTGGTATGGAGTTGGCATTCGAGTCAGCCTTGCACTTAAATGTCCTCACCATGCAGTGCTATGGCCTCCCTGAAGGGCTGGAGGTCCGCTTCTACAGATGAGCCAGTCTCTGCTGGTGAGTTAGCGCGGCTGGGGGCCACCATGGCCAGCCGAGGGTTGGCCCTGCTACTTCTGTGCGGTGGTGCTTTGCCGCATAAAAAGCTGATCAGATCCTCCCTGCGGATGGTTCTCCGGCGCTTTTTCACCCAGGCCAACATGTCCTGTAATCCAATGCACATTATAAAAATCTGAGAATTTATGCTTCAAAAGGAAGCATAAACTGAAACCCTACAGCACAACCTGACGCACATCTCCCGAGAAATTTAACTACACGGCAGGTTGAAGCAGGCGGCGACTGTTGAGATTGTTCAGTACGGTTACATTTCCAGCTACTTTTTCCATTGCGTTTTTGAACTTATCAGTAAGAATAACACTCATCTCAACATAAGGAATATTAATCACAGCATCAATATAAGGACTCACAAATGTCTGTAAATTCCTGGAGGGAGATAATCAATTCCCTCAGGTCTACTCCAACAGTTTCAACAAAGAAGTGGAAAAAATACAGGGACAAATGTTTACTCTTTGTTTAACAATGAAAAGGGACCCAGGAGGGTTAAAGTCCCAACATTTTAATTTCTCTCTATCATGTGTGCCACTGCAAAAACACTGGCAGTAAACCGCATGGTAATTAACACATAATGCACCAGTAAAAGCATAAATGTCAGCAAAGACGTTGGTCACTCAGAGTAGGGAAGGCTGCGTCACAGGCTCTACAGTCAGGCATCTGTTATCAACAAACACCGATCCAGTCTTTTTTTTTTTTTTTTGTAATATCCTTCATTGACCCTGTCGTGCATAGCTAATTTTTGTTTCCTAAACGACAGTCTATGACAGGAAACTGTAAAGTCACAATTAGTCACAAGCAGAGGAACAAGACCCACCTTATTACGACGTTGGTGTCCTATCTGGATGCCCCGATCGAAGCTTCTCTGATGGGCCTCGACACTCTCTGTGAGAGTGAAAGACAACAACAGCTGTTCACGATTATATATAACAAAGCCAACCAAATATGGACCTCTATTTAACATTTCTCATGTTGTACGCTATTTATTACGTATTTAGAAGTGGAGATGCTCTACTAAGAGACAGGCTTTGTTTCACTAGTGAATATCTGACATTGTGCTGTGTGTTTTTGGTCCCTTAAACCATGTGACAAGCTGATTAACACGGAGTTGATCAGCGATAATAACCACTTCTGTTTACCTTTTCATGTGGGGGGACAGATCAAAAACTTTTCCCAAAACTAACAAAGTTACAGCCAGAGTCTACACCGCTGGCTTAACGCACAGACACAACAGGAAGTGTAGAACCTGGTAGTCAAGGAACAAGGATGGAGGAGGATGTGGTTGGTTACCTTTGTAAAGGTTGGTGACTGCTGTAGCAGCGTTCTGAAATGGCACCCACAATGACAGGCCCTGCTGATGGCATACTCTGTCTGAAGGTGAGAGAGGAATAATAAAAATGAAAAAAAAAAACACTTGTAATTTAAAGCAAATACCATGGTGCCATACTAGTGGTGGTCAAATGACAGCAAAGGGGTTGAAGTTGAGGATCGTTTTCATTCGCCATTTTGTCTTGCATCTACAACTGCAAGGGGGACAGGGTTTGGCATAAAAATAACTGGCAGTCAGCGCTAGATGGCCAGCTTGGCAGCAGCTTGTTTAGCAGGAGAGTGCCGACACACGAACTTAACTGCCCTCTCAGCAGTTAAGTTGCAGAGCCCAGTCAAACACACACACTGGTAAAGACTTAAGCCAAACTCCTGTTTCTACGTGCCGGGGATTTATCCCGACCGATAAGAGCCAAGCTACAGCAGATTGTAGACAAACCAATATTATCCTCGCCATCTTGTGATTATAACGTTTCGCATCGGCTCAACTCGCCAGCTAGTCGGCTGTTTAAAAAACAAAACAAAGCCAGTGGACACGTATGTGCGGGCTCTTATTTCAACGCGTTTGGGGGGACAACGTCTGCAACCAATCGATACCGGTGTAGCAGATGTTAACACTGACAGCACACAGCAGACTGTCATCTGGGAATGTCGCGTAGCTACGATTGTTGTTGCCATCGCCATTTTGTAACTAGCCTGGCTAACCTGACGATAGCGGCTGTCAAACTTTAGTGTCAAAGTATTCGCGTTAACTCGAACTACCTCATCGCTTCGTCGATGTGGCCACTGCTATTTGGTGCTCGGCGTAACTACACAACGCCAGGTTATATCTCACAATTCTTTGTCACCAGCTAGCCCGGACTAGCTAGAAAAAAAATGTAGCATTGCAAAATTCACCTGTAAACGATAGTTTCCCCAGTACCCGGCTAGACGAGGAGTTTCCTAAAGAGCTAGCTACACTGCCGTTAATGTTAGTTTATAGGGCTCGGTGTACAGTCAGGCTGCTAACAAACAAGCCAAGGGGGGATGCAGGCACCGTTAGACGGACAAGCAAAAAGGAGAGCGCTGGGCTGGACCTTTGTATAACTGTGCCACGGCAGTGGCGGAGTTCTGGAAGAGATGCCACAGTTTATCCTGCTCGTTGTCGACGTCCTCCTCGCTCGGCTCCCTCTGCTCCGCTTCGGCCAAACACTGTCGCTCCCATTTTGAGAACCAGTGCTCGGGTCCGTGTTCCTGTATCTCCGAGTCGCCGTCTTCCTTCTTCTCCTCCATTTAATACGCCAAAAACTCGAGGGAAATTCGATTTTTAGCTTGAAAAGATGGCCGTTTCGACGCCGTCTAAAGAGTTATATGAGGGGAAATCATGAGTACTTTTATGTTTTTGTTATTTTTTTCTTCTTTTCTATTTCGTACTACGATACTGCGTCGCCACCTACTCCTGCCATCATAAACCTAGCTAACTATTTTTCCTAGTTGCCGACGTCGGGATATATGCACCACAGACTATCCTGTTATGCACTTCCTCCCGCCCCATTACTCTACATGTCAGCGACAAATGGCCACATGAACGCTGCAGGGTGGGCTCTGGGTCTGTGCACGCAGTTTAATTGGCTTTCAGACACGTCCCTCACACCGCTGACACAAAAGAAGCTCAGTGAAAATTCACTTTAAGTGCTCGCTGGCAAATTTATTAAGCTAGCAAGAGACACGGAGCTCAGAGAGCAAACACATTATATTATATTATATTATATTATATTATATTATATTATATTATATTATATTATATTATATTATATTATATTTCATCATTTCTATAGCATTAGATATAGCGAATTATCACCTATTAATCTAGGCATAACTTACAGACTTATAATATATGAACTGCTGCATTGTAAGTATATTAAAAATATATACGTCAACAACAAAAAATAGACTTTTCTAAACCCATGAGCGTTCAAGTTCATTAGACGAAGCCGAGTGTAGGACTGACATATGTCCACTAGATGGCGCCATGTCATGAAACTCTTCTTCAGACCTGCTGCTCTGAGAAGAACCAGCTACATGAAAAAAAAAAGAATGTACGATTAGTGGAACCCGTATTGTCCCACACAGTTATATATGCATTAAAAGTATTGTTGCTTTTTGACAATGTAATAGTTTGTAATATATGTTGGTTGAGTACATCAGGAGGACATCTTAGATTGACGACAGAAGACAAAGTTAAAGAGCCAAGGCTGAGGGGGTTTGGGATGCCTTGGATAGAAGATGTTGGAGGAAAAGAGAAAAAACCTCAGAGAAGATTTGTGGATGTTGTGAAGGATGATATGCAGAAGGTTGGTGCATATCATATCTGTCACAACGGAAGATGGGTGGAGGAGAATGATGGGGGTTACAGGTGAGATGGAGCCCCCTAAAGCAAGCAGCCAAAAGAAGAAGAAGAAAAAGATACTTGTTAATAGTAAAATCTGGAAATTAATCCAAAATGTGCATTTAAAATGCACAAAAAACAACCACAAAATGTGGTTGTTTTTAAAGTGCTTTATAAATAAAGTTGATGATGATGATGATGATGATTTACTTTATTAACGCGTTCCTGACCAGGCAGACGATCAGCTCTTAAGTAAATAACATGGTCTTAGAGCAGGAGGGCAGCAGTTTTACTATAGTATTGTATTTTCCAATTAGTTTTTGACTTTTCTTTTAAATTCAATTTAGTTCACGTCGGCTGATTTTCCTGTTTCAGTTTATTTTTTATTGTTTGAAAATGTTACGTTGTAGTTTAGTTTTTACTAGTTTCAGTGTTAGTTTTAGTCTTTTTTCATTACTATTGCATGAAGGGCAACTGCCAGGCACAACCTAGGAAAATCTGACTCATTTGACCCACTGTTGCAGGCATCAAGAGTCTGAATAAACAAAGAGTCTTTATTATTAGTAGTAGTAGTATTGTTGTTGTTGTTATAATCAAACTATAAATTAAACCTCATTTTTTAAAATTTGATTTTAGTTACTTTTTTTCAAAAGTTTATTTTATACTTTTAGTTAACTGTCACTGGAATCGAGTTTACTTTGGACTTCTTATTATAATAACCTTTGAAGGCAGTAGATTTTATTTGGTGGATATGATATTATATTCTAAATACATTGCGCAGTTGTTGTTTTTCCATTTCAGTTTTTTTTAATTGTCCTGTTTTAGTTAAATCTCGAGTAATATAGTGCATCCAAGCATGAAAGTGCACGCAAGTTCTCGAAAACCCAAGTCCATAAAGTTAACACACATGTTGAATGAAACTGATAACCAGGTAAACACACATTAAAATACAAAATTGAATAAATAAAATAACTGGCAATGACTCGAGCTGTCCATGGTGTGATATTAAAAGTTAATTTAACACAGCTGTGCAGGCACAATAGTTGGAAAATAAATATTCGTGTTCACTGTAAAATAAAAGTCCCGCTTGTGTAAATGGGTTCCTGTCTTTAATGCCAGTGGAAACCACGTGGTTTTACAGTTTTATTGGCTGAATCATGTTGTGTTTCCATACCATGTTTCTGAAAGCACGGGGTTTTTTTTTTTAAGTAAATCTGTTCAGAACTGCTCAATGAAAACTTTTGGTTTTGTCACCTTGTTGGGTAAAACGTCACACACGCGCTATTACCACGTATTTACACAGTTTAGCCCCACAGCTCAGCGATTTCTCCCATTCAAATCAATGTCACGCCACGTACAGCCATTAAACCAATCCCACTCGTGTAATAATTGTCGTTAGCTCTCATATTTCCTCTCCCTTTAATACACACACGACCCGGCCTGTGTGATTTCGCGTGGATGGAGAAGCTGGCTCGGGGATGGGCCCGTGTTTGGATCTCCATGCGGATGTGACATTTCAGAGAAAAGCGCGACCGCCATTTTGAGATTTACCTCAGACATCACAAACCAAACGGGAGGAGCGGGTTGAGGGAGCCGCACAGCTCAGGCTAGCGTTGTATGACCGGGCACATTCTTCACGAGAAGCGAGGGGAATAGCTAGAAATGCAACGAGCTGCTGCAGCGTTTCGTCGTCTGTCGTGTTAGGGCGGTTTGGAGGATTTTGGTTTATGTCGGGCCGCGCAAACTCTCGTCTCCGCGAACTTCTAAATTAACGTTAACATCAGTGCTATTCCGTATTGGGAAGCTGGTTTGAATGGATAGCTTTTTCCTCCGCTCTCCCCCAGACGAGGGACAATCGGAGGAGCACACAGACTGGGGATATCGCAGGCAAAGTTGTTGAATGTGTGTGTGTATAGCAAATGAGCCTTTGTTTTCATTGTCGTACCTTTAATACCATTTGGCTGCCTAGTGTCAGGTAGCTTAGCGCTAGCTTGAAACAGGGTATTTGTACCTGACGGTGCAGGTCGTGCTCAGAGTTCTCTTATTGCCCCACATTTCCCGGGGTAGACCCGGATTGATTTAGCTAATTTCAGCGGGCCTCCGATTTCGGAGTCCCCCCGCCCTCCCCTAATTACATCCATCGCAACCCCTGCCGTCAACCAGCGACTCGCACCCACCAAAGGCGCCGAGATTGGGCGAATAGCGAGCAAATACGTCCGCGTTTCTCTACCCGCTCCCCCGCCGACCTCCCCTCCTCACTCCCCGGCGCTGACAGCGGACAAGGCCGAGTTTGCAACAGAGCAGGCCCGGCCGCCAAGGCTCGACCTGTCCCCACCTCCGCATCCCACTACACCTCACCAGCAGTCCAGAACCCGGTTCCCCACCGAGTCGACCCTGGACAAGGTCGAGGGCAACAGAGAAAACAGGGAACACCGCATCACACCTACAACAACAACACCGCCACCTGCCAACATGAACCACCATCACCACACGCAGCAGCAGCAGCAACAGAAAGCCGGCGAGCAGCAGCTCAGTGAACCGGAGGACATGGAGATGGAAGGTAAGTAATGGCCCCGAGTAAAGTGAACGGACTTTTTATTAATCTTTTTTTTTAACCAGGTTTGTGCCATACGTTAACATTTGCACGAGAAATGCACGGAATTTTATCCGCATTAACTGAGCCCAACATCTCGGTAAACACGGAGGCCTGCAGCTAGCAGAGATAGCCGGTTGGTTTTTTTTTTTGCTGATTGTGCGTCCGATGCAGCATACTTGTATTCAGCTGACCTCATTTTGCGTTACAAGCAAACCGAGTCCTTAACGATCTTCGTTTGCTTGCGATATTCAGCTGTTTGCAGGTTTATCCAGAACCGGTGGCATTTTCCCCGCACATTGTCGCAGATTAGCCGCATAAATCATTCATTCTGATCGGCAACCGTATCTCCAAATAAACAGTTCATCGGCTTGTTGCTTCGAGATTGCCAAATCACCGCCGTCTAGAATCCGCTTGCACTCACAGAATTCCGGGCCCGATGCTTGTTGGTGGCCCAAGTGTTTGTAAACAGTCTGCTTAGTGTTGCAATTAACACGGATCCAACGCTAAGGTAAATTAATCTCTCTGCTCTGACTTGGCTGTGTGGGCTTTTGGGGTGATTTTGACAGCTATCGCTAGCTGCGTTCATCACTTCTCCCGCGAATAAAGTAGTGATATATATGTTTTTATTTTTTACTGATAACGTTAAACTTTAGTCTGTTAGTTGTTGTTCGACAAGTGACGTTGGTTCAGCCTCTAACAGTGAGAGCGTGTGCGTTAGCATCGTGTGATTGCTCGTACATTAAATGCTGGTTTCTAAATGGCTAAAGAGATCGGTTGACCATTTGGGTAAAAATATGTTAGGTGTGTCTCCAAAGTTTGACATGTTACCATATTGTAACAGAGTATCTGCTTCACTAACATCCACTTTGCGCGTTACGCCTTGTAAAACGCGAAGAACGGTGCTAGCGCGGCTGCTAATATTGAGCTAGTCAATTAGCTCCAAGGCGCACCTCGTTACGTTCTTTCTCTAGCTAGCATGCTAGCTAGCTAGCCAACTAGTGCACGGAGGGGGTGTGTGGCGTTCCAAAATGGTGGCTTGTATTTTGCATCGTTAAGATTTTGCCTTTTGCCCGAGAGCCGGGCCTTGCATTTTTTTCTCCGAGCTTTTAGCTTGTGTCTAAATTTTATCTCACGGTTATAATTTAGCAGCTGAGGGTAAAACGATTCCTCTAACAGTAAATCTACATCAATAGCTGGTACTTCTTGACTCCAGCTAATGTTGGCTAATAAAGGCCTTGAGGTGAATCTGTGGCTAGTGTTTGCTAAGGTGGCTAACGGGAACGCAGATGCGTCAATCCTGTGTTAGCTAACACACTACATTTTTAGCTATCCCTGCTGAAATTATAACAATGTGGAACACCAAGCGTACATTATCCCGTTTTATGTTAATTTATATCCTGGTATTTAGTGTCGTTACGTGAAACGTGGAGCAACGCTGGCAAGTAACGGTAGTTGCCGCTGCGGTAAGCCAGGCCCGCACAGAGGCAGCGCGGGGATTTGCTGCTTCATTGTATGGAAGACCAAAAGGCATGGAGCTCGCCATTTTTAATGATCTGTTTTTTTTTTCTTG